AAAAGTAGATGAGACATGGCTGAAGAGAGAACAAGTGAACTACAAGGCAGAAATTGTCCTTAATACAGCATGGAAAAACAAAAGAACAGAAAATACCCAATTAGAGTAGAAACACAGCAGATATATAGAGAGATCTAACATACGTTTAATTGGAGTCTCAGAGGATGAGGAGAGAGAAAGGGGCAGAGGCAATATTTAAGGAGAAAATGACCGATAATTTTCCCCAAATGATGAGAGATGCTAATTTAGAGGTTGAAGTAGCCCGAGCTTTATGGAGATAAAAGCTAAACTATTTGGTATGACATTTCACGATATCTGCAACTCACTTTCAGAAGGTCAGGGAAAAAGTTTTTATATGTAAGGAGATAAAGCAAATGAGGCAAAATGGTAATAATTGACAAATCTGGATGAAGGTATATGGATGTACATTGTACTATTCTTTCAACATTTCTGTAAATTTGAAGTGTTTCAAAATAAAGAGTTTGCAGAAGAAGTCAATTCTATACAGGGAAATCCACCAAGGGCTCAGATTTTTTAAAAAAGAAGATCTGGGATATGTCACCTGGTAAAGAACCCTGAACAGTCAAGAGGCAGGCTGAAGGCAAAGGGAACATGAATTGTGTAGTGAAGTTATTCATATCAGCTACCGCTTTGTTGTAGAAAAAGACTATAGCTTCTACATATATCTCTTTTCTTTCTGTGTCAAGTATATTATTATTATGAATATCTTTTTGGTGAGTAAGATTGGCCCTGAGCTAAGATCTGTTGCCAATCTTCCCTTTTTGCTTGAGGAAGAATGGCCCTGAGCTAACATCTGTGCCCATCTTCCTCTATTTTGTATATGAGTCACTGCCACCGCATGGCTTGATGAGTGGTGTAGGTCTGTGCCCGGGATCTGAACCTGCGAACCCAGGCCACCAAAGCGGAGCTCACTGAACTTAACCATACGCCACCAGGCCGGCCCCCAAGTATATATATATATTATTTTTTTGCGAGGAGGACTAGCCCTGAGCTAACATCCGATGCCAATCCTCCCCTTTTTTCTTGAGGAAGATTGGCCCTGGGCTAACATCCATGCCCGTCTTCCTCTACTTTACATGGGATGCCGCCACAGCATGGCTTAACAAGCAGTGTGTTGGTGCGCGCCCGGGATCCGAACCTGCGAACCCTGGGCCGCCGCAGCGGAGTGCATGCACTTAACCACTGTGCCACCAGGCCGGCCCCTCCAAGTATATTTCTAACATATTTTAATTCTCTCGTTCTTCTTTCCCTCCACTCTCGTATATAGGGTGTATTGGTGGTAATTCACTTTCCAGCGTAGTTCATAGTTTGCAAAATATTGAGATGGGCTGGTAAAGGAAATGCAGGAGGTATGGACATCATCTAGAAATCCAGACTCCAAAGTGGATGTAGTGATTGACAAGATTTTTTTTTTTTTTTGGTGAGGAAGATCAGCCCTGAGCTAACATCCATGCCAATCCTCCTCTTTTTGCTGAGAAAGACTGGCCCTGAGCTAACATCTGTGCCCATCTTCCTCCACTTTATATGGGATGCCGCCACAGCATGGCCTGACAAGCGGTGTGTCGGTGCATGCCCGGGATCCGAACCCGGGCTGCCAGCAGCAGAGCACACACGCTTAACCGCTACGCCATGGGGCCAGCCCCAGGATTTTGAGTTGTCTCCCTTTGGAAAAAGAGTGAATGTATTTTTGATAGGAAGGGAGATAGATGCATTATACTTGTAAGAGATATATTTATATTTAAAATTATATTTATATATTATATATTTAATATACATTTATATATTTTAATATGATATTAAATATATCATACTGTCATATAATTTATATTATCACATAAATACATATAATGTTAAATATATAAATAATATATAAAAATACATTTAAAAACCTATAAAAAGTGTATATATGTATACTTTTTAAGAGTAAATACTAGAATAAGGACATGCATGGATGTCGGGTACCTAAAACAGTGGACTGTAGAGATATCTGTCACTTTTTTGGCTGTCCAACAACAACCTCTCTTCCTGTTTTGGGGAATTCCTTTCTGTGGGTGGTTTTGTGGGACATGGCGCCTGGACACCACTATATGAGCTGAGGAGGGAAGGTCTTCTCTCCACCCCTGGCTCCCTTGGTGTAAGCAGGTATCCTGAGTTTAGCTAATCTGATGCTTCTCGTCCCCTGCCGAGTTCCCTCTCTCCACCTCAACACGGCAGCCCCGAGTGGTTGCCCAGGACACTTGGGCTGGTGTCTGATGCAGGGCGGGTGGGGAGCAGTTCCAGGGGACCCAGGACAAGCATGTTCCCCTTTCACGGCCACTCTGGCCTCAGCTCAGGTCGAGGGTGAGGTGCTGCTTTCCAGCTGGGTGAAGCGCTAAGGAAGATGTCCTTTCTACCCCCCGCACCAGGCAGATGGGGACAAGCCACCCGAGTGTGGAGGTGGAGTCTGCAGGCAAGAAGGTGCTGGCCCTGCAGCTCCCCACCCTTTGCCTTTGCACTTTCGCAGGGCCTGCAGCTGAACCCTTTGGGGGGAGAGAGTTGCAGGTGAGTACAGGCTTTGGGGTCTCACAGACCTGGGTTCAAATCCCACCACAGATAGTGAAACCCCTAATCTCTAATGACGGTGAAAGTTTCCTATTGAAAACAAAAAGTTTGGTGGAAATGTAAAATGGTGCAGCTGTTATGGAAAACAGTACAGTGGTTCCTCAAGAAATTACACATAGAATTACCACATGATTCAGCAATTCCACTTCTGTGTATATACCCAAAAGAATTGAAAGCAGAGACTCAAAACAGACATCTGTACACCCATGTTCATAGCAGCATTATTCACGATAGCCAAAAGGTAGAAGCCATCCAGGTGTCCACCAATGGATGAATGGATAAACAAAATGTGGTACTGTGTACATACAATGGAACATTATTCAGCCTTTTTTTAAAAGAAGGAAATTTCAACACACACTACAGCATGGATGAAACTTGAAGACGTTATGCTAAGTGAAATAAACCAGTTGCAAAAAGACAAATACTGTGTGATTCCATTTATATCAGGTCCCTAGAGTAGTCAAATTTATGGAGACAGAAAGTAGAATGGTGGTTGCCAGGGGCTGAGGGGAAGGAAGAATGGGGAGTTAGTGTTTAATGGGTATAGAGTTTCATTTTGGGAAGATGAAAAGTTCTGGAAATGGATGGTGGTGATGGTTGCAGAATAACGTGAATGTACTTAATGCCCCTGAACTGTACACTTAAAAATGATTAAAATGGTAAATTTCATGTTACATATATTTTACCACAATAAAAAAACACATCACCATAAAAAAATAAATGCTGCGTGGCCAAGCAAAATGCGTCCTGGTCAAACTCAGCCTCCACTATGAAATCCGTCACGGGGCCTGGAGGCAGGAAGGGCTGGGGGTCTGGGATCCGGAGGGTCAAAAGGATGGAAGAGAACCAGCGGAGAAAGGAAGAAGGGGCCCACTGAGGCTGGAACTCGCCTCCCGCTGCCCCCGTGGCCTCTACCAATCAGACACCAAGCCCCACCTGTGCACGTTCCCCTCCTCTCCGTCCCCGCTGTCCCCGCCCCATCCAGTCGTCCTCATCCTGCAAGGGCTTTCTCCTCTTTGATCTTTGGTCCCTCTCCCACTTGGCCTGGGTGGTGACCTTTCTAAAACCTGGATCTGACCACGTGTCTCTCCTGCTTGAAATCCTCCAGCAGCGCCCCACCGCCTCAGCTTCAGCCGGCAAGCAGACTGTTCTAAGCTGACTCCAGCCTGTTTTTCCAGCTTCACAGCCCTGCCTTTCCTGAGCCCCAGCTCCCTTTATGTCAGAACTGTCATCACGACCAGTTCTGAATACCTTCTATGTGGCAATTAGTAAATGTTATCCCTAATTTTCTCAACAACCCTGCAAAGTAGGTATCACTGACTCCATTTTAGAGATGGAGAAACTGAGCCTCACACAGGCAAGGATAGATTCAGAGGTCCATGCTCTTTTCACCACCTAGAGGCTCCTCTCTGTCATTCACTCTGGTGCCTCCGTGCCTTTGCATATGCATAAGCATAAGTGTTAGCCCTCAGGTTTGGCTCAGAATCACATCCGATTACCCTAATGAGCCCTGACACCACCAGAACCCCTGCCCCAGCCATTCCCCATCACGGTTTTCTTCATGGTGCTCACCTCTGTTGGAAATCATCTTACTTGCTTACAAATTTAATATTCTTCTCTCCACTACAAGGTAAGCTCCAGGAGAACAAGGATGGACCTGTCTGATATCCCCAGCACCTGGAGCATGCCGACTGCCCTGTAGATGCTCCAAAAACAGCACTGATGGGATGAGGCCACTGACTCGCGCTGTCAGATCCCTCCCAGCCCCCAGCCCGGCCTTCCCTCCCACGTGCTCCCTTAGTCCTCTGACACTGGAGACGCTGTTGGTCCCTTGCACTAGGCCTTGTGGTTATCCTTCCACTCTTGGGTCTCCCCCGGCAGACCCCAGTGCCTGGGCACAGCGCCTGGCCTACACCAGTGCCCAGCCACCTCTCGCCAAACATCTGAGTCAACGTTGGAATATCCCCAGTTGGCACTCGGTTAGTTCCTGCTTCATTCTCACGATGGCTCAGAATCAGGTACCATCTTCCAAAGGGCAGGGCCTGCCCTGTGCAAAGCGCTGGGGGGCTGGGGTCTCCCACAGGGTCAGCCCAGGCACAGAAACTGGCCCGTCTTCAGGAGGAAACCTGGGACAAGGGGACGGGGAGCACAACTATAGCAGCAGCAACTTTTATTGCAACCAGAATCCCTGGTCATGTGGGAGGAGATGGGGCAGAGGGACATTTGGTACTGATGCCATCGTCCAGGACACGAAAAGTCCAGCTGGCTATGCCCTGCCCTTCCCCCACCCCCCAATCGGGGCAGGGCATCCGATGGGGCTAAGGCAGAAGGGAAGTGAAAAGAGGAGTCCAGTTCAGCAGAGCCTCATCCAAGGGATGAGGGCCCAAGATGCTCAGGGCATTTTGGGCTGACTTCTGCACGTGTCCTCGGCGGGTTTTAGGGGAAAGCAACGAGGCAAGCTCTGCTCATGGGGAGAGGGTGGGGGTGGGGAGGGGGAAACAAAGGTCAAGGTGAGAAATTGCTGGCCAGTGACCACACAGGTGGGACCTTGGGATCTTCACTTCTAGACCAGGGCCGTGTCCACCCCCTGCTTCCCACCATTCACCCCAGCCTGGGTGCCCCGCCTGGCCAGCCTCGGGTCCTGTGTGGGGATCTGCATATGGCCCAGGTCCTGGTCCATGATCTGGAGGACATCGTCCAGGATGGAAGGCCCCAGGTCCACGTGCAGGGAGAGCAGGGAGCTGGCGTGGGACAGGAAGGGCTCATCTGCCCCCGACTCAGGGGTCAGCCCATTGTGGGCCGAGCCAGCCTCTGGAATTCTCCAGATGTCCACACTCCCTGCCTCCTGTGGGGAAGGCTGTGGGGAGGGCTGAGGGGTCTCCAGGTGCAGGCGAGGGGGTTTGGGTGGGGCCTGGGAGGTGGGCAGGGTGAGGGCCTGGAGCCCACCGATGACCGGGAGGGAGATGGCGTTCTTGAGCAGAGGGGACGGCCCGTCGGGGAGCTCCTGGCCACACAGCGTGGCCGTGCGGGTGAACTGGAAGGGGAGGTCGAAGGTGCCATCCTCCTCAGGTCCCTCGACTGCCGTTCCAGGCAGGAGGTGGAACTTGCCCTGCAGGAAGGAGATGTCACCAAACATGTCGCTGCCACCTCCGCTGCCGATATGAATGGTGTGGCGGAAGTCTCCCAGCGGCGGGCTGATCATGTCTGAGGACAGCAGGTCCCGAAGCTTCTCCTTCTTGCCCTTGCGGCTGCCGCGCTTCAGATAGATGGGCACCTTGGTGGACATCGTGACCTCACCACCGACCTGGCTGCCGAGGCCGAGACAGTCCACCCGCCAAGACCACAGCCTCCTGCTACCTCCTCTCACTGCCCTCAACCTGAAACACCCAGGGGGTGGTTTTCAGGCACCAAAATCTTGCCAAAAATCTAAGAGTAGTATGTGGGGTGTGACCAAAGTTGGCCCAAGGAATTAGAAAAAGAAAGATTAACGACGTCACAGGGTCAAGATAACAAAAACCACTTTCTTCCAAAAGAGTCAAAAATTCTTCTGAAAATTGGAAGCAGAAAGGCAGAGATCTCGCCAGCAGCAACGCTCTCTTGTCCTCGAGAGTGTCTCCCTGGTCCGGGGCTGAGGAGCTGAAACACCAAGGGCACAAGTCAGGGGCAGGGACAAAAGTCGGAAGCATCCATCTCGTTTCTGGGCCCCCCGCGTCACCCTGGGAGCCCAAGTGGGGCCACCGTCCCGGGAGACCCTGCTGGGAGAAGTGGTGTTCATTTGCAGACTCACTGCACCTTAGAGCCTGGGTCAGCGGGGCCAAGCTCCTCCCTTTGCAAGTGGGGAAACTGAGGCCCAGGAATCTGAGTGACAGGCCCGAAGTCACAGGCAAAGTCCTGACTCTGGTCTCTTGCCCTGGGTCCCCGGCTCTGCTCCTCACCATCAGCCGGGTGCTCCACCCCTACTGTACATCGACGGCGCCCCAACATGACAAGTGCCAATTGTGCGGGGGTCTCACAGACTTGTCTCAATTCCCTGCTTGACTGAGGACAAAGATCTTGTAAACTCACCCATCAGGCCTGGCACAGGCTGGACGACACACAGTAGGGGTTCAGCCAACCGTGCTGAATGACTGACACCTCCTGTTGGGCCCAACCACATCCCACCTGGAAGTGAGGTCACCTTCTGGGAATTTCCCTTTTCTCCTCTGGGTTAGCACTTCCTTATGGGCAGGGGCTGAGTCTAACGTAGTTTCTGTCCCTCCTCCCTGCCCCAGCACCTAAGGGGAAGATGAGGGGGTACAAATATTTTTGGGGGGCTCTGCTCTGTGCCTGGCATTTTGCTCTGTTCTTTGCAAATGCATCTCATTTATTCATCACAACCACCCTCCTATCATGCCCATTTTAAAATTAGAGCAACAAGACATTTTCGAGGAATTCCCACAAGGCATTGCAGAGGGAGAGAAGCAAAATGCAAAACTGTAGTAGAGAAGATTCCATTTACTGAAAGCATTGACCAGCTCCTCATCCAGCCTCCCCATATATGAGCGTGTGTCCCTACATATACAGGTCTGGGTAGGATAACTACCTGAGACGAGAACAGAGAAGAATATGGAAGGCCAACAGCGGATTGTCATATGGGTACCTAGACCCTGGTTGGGGGCAAGGATGGAGTGAGGGTCAGTGACATGGGAGGAAAGCTGTCCTCAATAAAAATTATCTGTAATATTTGCTCCCTTTACTATAAAATGATATATGTCAATGTGAAGGGATGGTCGCCAAAATGATGGTGGTTCTCTCAAGGTGGTAGAATTTCAGGTGACTTTCCCTTTCTAGTTTTTGTCTTGTCCCTTTTATAAGCTCAAATTCTTAACAATAAGCATGTAATATTTATGTGTACATATTATTTATGTAATCAGAAAAAATAAAGCTTTCTTTTTTGTGTGTGAGGAAGATCATCCTTGAGCTAACATCTGCTGCCAATCCTCTTCTTTTTGTTGAGGAAGATTGGCCCTGGGCTAACATCTTCCTCTACTTGATATGTGGGACGCCTGCCACAGCATGGCTTGATAAGTGGTGCATAGGTCTGCGCCAGGGATCCGAACCCCGTGAACCCTGGGCTGCCAAAGCAGAGCGTGCAAACTTAACCACTACACCACCAGGCTGGCCCCCAAATAAAGCTATTTTTTTTTATAATTTTATTTATTTATTTTTTTCCCCCAAAGCCCCAGTAGATAGTTGTATATCATAGCTGCACACCCTTCTAGTTGCTGTATGTGGGACGCGGCCTCAGCATGGCTGGAGAAGTGGTGCGATGGTGCACTCCCGGGATCCAAACCCGGGCCACCAGCAGCGGAGCGCGTGCACTTAACCGCCAAGCCACGGGGTCGGCCCTCAAATAAAGCTATTTTTAATGTGGAAAAAATAAATACACTCTAGAGGTGTGTCATACTGGTTTAACAGAAAAAGGAAGCATTGCAAAGACTCCCTCTAGTTCCTACGGTGGGGGACTGGCTGATATGGATACACGAGAGCCCAGATGTAGAATCAGAACACAAAAGGCAAAGAAAGAAACTCATCCAAGGTCACCCAGCGGGTAAGCAGATGAGTCTACCCTCTCCCACTGCCCCTTCCCCAGGCCAGCAGAGGCTGAGCAGGTGGGAAATCGCCAGGAGGGGCCGAGCAGCAGCACGGAAGTCTCTGCCAGTTCCTCTGCCCCTTCTGCATCCTGGGCAGGGTGAGGGGAGAATGGGGGTGCTGGTGGGAGGGAGCAGGAAGGAGGATGCAGGAGAGGCAGAGCCCCAACTCCCCCCCTCCAGCCCAGGCCCTCACTCAGGAAACCCCACCCCAGGACAACACCCTGGGTCAGCAGTGCTGAGCCACAGACACCGGACATCTTGCCCCTCCCAGAGCACCTGCAGCTTAACAGGAAACAAGTGACTCTCCAGTGGCGGAATTCCAGCTCAGCTTGGAAGGAGCTGTGGGGAGGGCGGGAGAGTCCACAGGGGCTGTGAGGTCTCAGAATCCCATCACTTACTCATCTAACGGACATTTACCAGTGCCCACCACACCAGGCCTGGGGGGCATGCTGACACAGACCCTATCTGGTCCCTTAGCAGGCGAGAAGTCCTGCGGTAGCTTCTCCTCCCTTTTCACTCATGGAGAGTGGGGCAGACTGGCGAGATTCTCCCAGAGCCTGGGCCAGGTCCCCCCCATCACACAGGGGCGCCAAGACAGCCTGAGTGTTTCCACAACAAGCCGGGTGTCCCTGACAGCTGTCTCACTCTGAGCCAGATGTACCGCCCAATTCCAGATGTGGGGAGAACTGAGGCTGTGGGGAAGGGCTGGGCTAGCATCAACCACCCAGGGGAGAGCTAGGAATTCCATCCAGCAAGCCCTAAGTATTCAGATTTGGCAACCACAAGATCCCGGGCCCCACTTTAATGCTCCCAGCCACAACGCAGTGGGTTTCACTACTGCCTTTACAGAGGCAGAAGCTGAACCTCAGAGATGTGAGGAAACCCTACCGAGGTCACCCAGCTAGTAAGGGGAAGAGTGGGCACTGGTACCCAGCCGGGTCCATGTGGCTCTGATGCAATGGGCTACACCAACCTCCCCAGTCTCCTTGGGGAGCAGGAGAGAAGCAGGGTCCCAGCTAGGCTGGGGCCACTGGGTCCTCAGGCCTCCTCTAAGTCCTACCTCTTGGCTGCCCCCCAACTTGCAAGTGTCTCAGAGATACGAGAATGAACTCTCCATCAGGACAAGGCCTGCAGCTGTGATAGGAGCAGATAAGAGCCATCCTGGCTGTGTGGGCTTGCTCTGGACAGGAGCCCTAGGCCTCCTTCAGAGAAAACGACTTCTGGGAGGCAGAGCCCCTCCAGTCGTGAGGCAGAGCCCCTCCAGTCATAGGCCACTCCCCATCAGGGGTATTCAAAGAGCAGCCCCCTGACCTTGAAATCAGGAGACTGACCTTGAATCCATCTACCCCTGGGACTCACTCTGTGACCTTGGGCAAGACGCCTCTCCTCTCTGGGGCTCAGCTTCCCCATCTATAAAATGCGCTGACGATAGCCATCACCAGAGGGCTCCTGGAGACCCTACGGCCATTCCGCAAGTGAGAGCGCCACGTCCCACAGAAGGGGTTGGCGGTCACCGTCATCCCTGTCATTTATTCAGCAAATAGCTATAGGGCATTCCTCAAGCATTTTAGTTCTCCGTGGCCAGTGCCCCAAACAAGACCAAAAATGAACGGCCCCTGGCGCCAAGCGTCGGCTTCCTCCTGCCAGCCCCGACGTAGCCTGAGCGTAGTCCCCCACGCCAGCCAGCCGCGGGGTCTCACGGAGTCCCGGTGCGGAGCCGTGCTCGCCTCCGCGGCCGCTTGGTGGCGCGCGCGCTCCCTCTATCTCCCCGCATCCCGGAGGAGTCCGGGCTCGCACCGGGGTCTCCAGCGCGCCTCTGGCCCAGGCAAGCCCCCCAAGGAGTGGCGTCTTCGCGTACCAGATGCGGATCGGCTGCGGGATCTACTCCTTGTGAGGGGTTCTGGTCTCAAAACCAGACAAACGGGGAAAACGGGGCGATCGGGGACCCTGCTCAGGTCTCCAAGCTCTGGGAGGAGCCTCCCCCGTGCTTTCCGGCCTGGGAGATGTCCGAGTGTCCGCTCGGCGCAGGGCCAGAGCTCCGGCGTGCGGGCCCCCGCCCCTGGCTCCCGCGGGTCCGGCTCCTCAGCCCCAGCTCGGGTTCCGGCGCCGACCCCTCCCCGCCCTCTGCCCGCGCGCAGCCCAGCCCAGCCCAGATCCGTTTCAGGACACTCGTGGTCGTGTCTAAAGATAGGAGGACACTTCACCATAGGCTAAAAATACGACCCCCAGCCCCGGCGAGGACGGTGGGCTGGGGGAGGGCTCTCCCGCGTCCCAGGGGTGGGGCAGGGGCTAGGGCGCAGGGTGGAGGGCGGGACCGGGAGTTCGGGTTCGGGATGCGCTGCGCTCCGCAGGCGGAGGGGGGCGCGGGCGTGGCCTCTGGGACCGAGACGCGGGCGGGAAACACCGTGGAGCCCGAGGCTCCCTGGAAAGAACCTGCGCGGAGGTGAGATGGGAGTCGGAGCGCAAGCAGGGTCGGGGCACCACGGGGATGGGCCTCTCGGGGGGGCCCCGTCGGAGCCGCGCACGGGCTGTAGAGTCCCGCCGGCACTCACCTTGAGGCGCGCAGGCGGCGGACCCGCGGGCGGCAAAAACTCCAGAGCTGGACGGCGCTGCGCTGGGACGCGATCCTGGCTGTGAACTCGCTGTGCGAAACGAGGCCCCTGAAGCTCCGCCCCCGGCCCGCGGAGCCAATGCCGAGGCTGCCCCAGCCAGGCCCCGCCCACTTCCCCGCCCCACTCCGGGCCCCGCCTGCGCTCCC